CTCAGACTCATCTTACGACCCGGATTATTTCATCCCTTGGATAAACGAACTCATAAGGCTGCGATACCCCTGTCACACGGAGAATCGACTATGTCAGCGGGAATTCCACTGCGTCACCTCTAGCGACCCTCGGTGCGCTGATTTCCCTTCTGCCGACCACACCTATTACTTCACCCACCCGGGATTTGTTGTCATCACCACCAGTTTCCCTCATTTCCGCCTTCTTTTCCCATATCATCAACTCAGCGTCGTTCCGTGGCCGGCCATAGCCCCCTATTGGCCCAGTACGTTTTGTGTGAATTGCCGACGTAGCGGCGACGGAGAACTCCGGAATTCCGAGGGCCCAATCGAAGTACGCGGCGGCCCCCGACGGCCTAACTTTTGGGGCCCGCCTCCAGTGCAGAGGGATTTCCCCGTAAACCGTCGCCCACAGTGCCCCGGCCCCATCGGACCCTGAGTCCCTCGCGCATGCGCTCCTTATTCGCCCAATTGCATTCATACCCTTAAGACTCCCCCACTTCCCCAAAAATCCTTGGCACACCCCTTTTCGCACTTCCAGGCCCATATCCCACTCCGATCAGTTAGTCGCACTCGGCGTGAGGTTGGTATCGGAGCCCGACACGTGGCTAGGGTCTTAGGATTGATAGCACGGTAATTAGGCGACCTGGCTAACCGAGGGCGACCTCGCCCTCGGAACGCGCATAGACGCGACCCTATCGTCAGCCGAAGCAGATCGGCTAACCGACGAGCAGCCAATATGGCTGCCAACGTGCCAAACCCGGTTCCACAACAAAATGCTAATCCACCAAATCAACCCGCCCCACGTGCACGAGCTCCCATGGCGCCACCTAATCTCTATCTATTTGATCCGGCGCACCATCTCGCAGGAGCATGGCTGGCCACACTTAGAGCCCAACAGTATACTGACAATGAAGCACACATCAAGATTCCCGCCCGATTGGGGGGAGACGCTCATCATTGGTTTAGCACCTACGTGTGGGTCGATCTCACGACCTTCGAAAGGGATTTCATGAACCGATTTGATTATGTTCACCTCGGGCAAGCGCTGTACATGATCAAGGACCGAGTGCAAAAACCTCTCGAATCCGTTGCGGAATATCGAAACCGGTTCTACAGAATGTTCGTAAAAACTGAGCGAGGCGAGCAAGTAGGAAGAGATCTATTCATTGATGGACTTCGCAACCGAACTACAAGGGCTAAGTTGCAGAAGGAATTTCCCCCCATCACTCACACGCTACAACAAATCATGGCTGCTGCAAAAGAAATGGAACGAAAGTTTGCGGCGAACTTCCTGGAAGGAAAAGACTATCCTAGAGAAGGGGATTCGACCGAACTTGCACGAGCGAGAGCTGAATTAGCCGCCTTACAGAACAAGTTCGAAAACATGGGGTTTGTGTCAGGACCTGTCACCTATATGGAACAGATAGGCCCCAAACGAGTGATCCTAAGTGAGGTTCTGAGTACGTCCGCTCCTGCGATGCCCCCACCCGTAAGGGCGTTACCCCCACCACCTGTTGAGGCTCCCGCACGAACGAACGAATCAGCGGCCATTTTCAAACTAACCAAAACCTTGATTAGTTTGATCCAGGAAAGCAAAAAGGAGCAGCGAGAGCACAATGCTCGGCTGGAAGCCATGATGAGGAACATGCGGCCCATTGCGGTACGCGCCCCTCCGATGCAGCAAGGATTAGCCCCAGCACCTGCGCTCGGAGGAGTCGCAAATAATCTGAATGTCTGTTATGCCTGTTATCAGCCAAAACATCTAGCCCGTGATTGCCCCCACCGACCCCCACAACAGCGAATCGGTGTCGCGCCTATAGCGGCGGCTCCCATCGCTAACGGTCTTGGACGATTCGGAGCTTTGATGGAAGAAATACAGGGTATGGGAAGTGCCCTGGCCACCACGGCTGAGGCCGCCGAGCTAATCCCGCTAGATCAATACGTATCGCTGGGATATCATGGGCTTGGAATGATCGGAACAATCAGACCAGCGCCAGAACCGAAAGAGGTGGCGGAGTGGCGACCGTCTCTAGGAGAAATGGAGTCGGGAGGACCCACCTTCGTCACAGAAGAGATCGATGTATTAAACATCATCCGAGCCTTGGACTATCGGATTCCCCTTCCGATCGGTCATCTACTCTCGATCTCCGAGCAAGCCAACGAGCGAATGCTACAGCATTGCAAAGCAAACCGAAAGCGATTCGCCCTCGCTCGAACACCGAATGCAAAAGCCAAAGGCCCCACGCCAGAAGAAAACCAAACAGGCACTCCGGATCCGATACGGGTGGGTTTAATTCAGAAAGACGATCATTTCTTACGGATTAAACCGATTCCGTGGAAATCCGCAGAATGTGATATTGAAATTTGGGGAATTACCTACAACACAATTATAGATTCGGGAGCAGCCGTGTTGGCGATTTCACTGAGAGTGGTCGAAAGGGCAGGTAGGAAAAACGATTTGATCATGCTCAATGTGAAAGATCAGCTCGTTTTGGCAGATGAGGAAAAGATCAAAACTGTGGGGAAAATGACCAATGTCGCCTTCCGATTAGGAAAAGTACACGCGCTTCGGGATGTCGTAGTACTAGATGTCAATACGTACGACGTTCTTTTCGGACTTCCCGCTCTTATGGCGTTACAAGCGAACCTGGATTTCGAGCGACGATTGATCGTCCTCCGAAATACAGGAGGAAAACCCTACGCTGTGCCCATGCGATTGACCCTTCGCACTACTATTAACGTGGTTCCGCGGGTTTCGCCGATGATGGCAGGGACTCTCCGCATGATCTCCTGGGATGAATCCGCAAAGGGAAAGTCATCAACAGATGATGCGGAAAGAAGTGACGAAGATGATCCGGAGATCTTGAAATTGGTATGACAACGCGTTTGCTACCCGCCGCCCAAAATGATAGCGAGAACGATGCAACTGACCAGCCGAAAAATTCAAAGGACCAAGGCAATGACCTTGGGTGAGCCCCTCGTGCAGATTTCGAGGATGGTCGACTCTTTGGAACCCCCCAAACTCTGTACGAAGGAATTACCCCTCTCCTCGCCAGGTATAGCGACAAAAAGCATTATTGCGACATTACGAAATTACCTAAGTCTTTATTGACATCTGCTAAAGAAGTAAGATTGTTACGCTTGGGGGCGGAAGCAAGCTCTCTGGAACCCCCTGGGCGTTTCGAGGCAGAAACAGATGGACTGGGGATAAAGATCACAACTAAGAACGTGCCATGGCAGGATGTTGTGACGGGATTTCCCCGGAAGGACACGTGGCAATCCGGGAAGAAGACGCCCAGATGATGGCCACGGTGTTCTCCTGGCGATCGGACCATTTGTTCATCTCGGCGCCTCCGCCCGACGTGGCAAAACAGACATGTACGAAACAGCTTGACGTTCGGATCGGGGATCAACTTTTTGAACTACACGTTCCACAGTACGTACCGGATGAAATCCACCGGGTGATTGCGGACATTCTAACGGAATATCCAGGAGCGATTAGCGTGACAGATACAGACATTGGTTTGTCGTTAGTAATCCAACATGAAATTCAGACAGGAAATCACTCCCCGATTCATTGCAAACCTTACCTCTATTCGTTGATTGAACTCAAAAAGACTCTCGAACGAATTCGGGAATTCGAAGCCAGCAGCTGGATTGAACCCGTCATCGGACCTTGGTCCTTTCCCGTAGTGTTAGTACTAAAGAAAAACGGAGCGATTCGCATTTGCATTGATTATCGCAAGCTGAATGAAATCACGATCATGTGTATCCCCTCCCCCGGATTGATGATTTGTTGGATGGGATTGGATGCGCCAATTATTTCAGCAAGTTTGATATTCGGCATGGCTTCCATAATATTCAGGTTAAAGAGGAAGATCGGTCGAAGACGGCCTTTGTGTTGTTCGAGGGCACGTGGCAGTGGGTTCGGTTTCCAATGGGGATTTGCAATGCGCCTGCCACATTTCAGCGAGCGATGAACATGATGTTCCAGAACTTCGTCAACAAGACACGGCTGACGCAAGGGATGATTAACTTCTGCGTGATCGTGTACATGGACGACATCCTGGTCTATTCGAAAACCTATCACGGGCACACGCAACACATCGAATGGACATTGGGCGCGTTGAGAGACGCTGGGTTCAAGATTGCGCTCGAGAAGAGCAATTTTTTCCTCCCGGAAATTTCGTTCTTGGGCTACGTCGTGACACGTGGAGGATTGTGGCCGAATTCGAGAAAAGTTGCGGCGGTGAAAGAAGCCCCGGTTCCCACGTCACTGACGCAGGTTCAAGCCTTCTTGGGATTGACGTCGTACTACCGGCGCTTCATCAAGGGTTTTGCCGCGATTGCGCAGCCACTAACGAATCTGTTAAGGAAGGACCAGCCTCTCAGTTGGGACGCGGAGTGTCAACAGGCTTTTCGACGGCCCCTATTTGATTCGGTCGGACCCCTCGAAGCAGTTCATTCTCATCACGGACTGGCAACCGGAAGCTATTTCCGCTATTCTAGCGTTGAAGGGGAACGATGGTCGTGAACACGTCATCGAATACGCGTCACGCACCGCATCGGACGAACGAAGGAATGACTCGGCGCCTCAAGGCGAATGCTACGCACTAGTCTGGGGAATCCAACACTTCCATCCGTATCTCTACGGACAGAAGTTTCGCCTCGTGACAGATCACGAACCCTTGCTGGCGCTGAAGAAACTCACCAACTACACGGGCATGATTGGCCGTTGGGCGGTGCGACTGCAAGAATACAACTTCGATATCGTCCATCGAAAGATAGAGCGACACGGCAACGCGGACGGGCTGACACGTCTGCATCGACCTGCCAAGGTACCAAAGGGCGAGGAAATTACACTGTGGAAAGAGTCGGACTTGACCAACGAGCTGAAATACGGACAAGTGGTGGTTCTTCCACGTGGCAAGAAGTAAAACGGTGGCGATGGGTGATGGAGGTAACCCCACTACCCCTCTCTCTCCCCCTTCCTCTTCGTCTCTCCTCTCCCTGCCTGACAAATTTTGCTATTTTTGCGAAGCCATCTCCCGCGTATACGCGGTCTCCATGCGTCCTAACGGGGAAGGGTATGCGGATTGGATAGATTGCCGACAGTGTGTCGCACGAGCCCATGGCTCGTGCATCCAATACAGAAACGATAGTAAACCATGGTTGTGCCCCTTGTGCCGGACCGACAAGATTCCGACTGAGGCTCGCTTTTTGGATGCCACGTCAGAAGAGTTGGAAAAGACCCGGAAGTATAGAAGGGCCGAGGTATGGACGAATATTGCCTTAATTGCCACCCTAGTAGGTAACCCCCTCCATGATTTCACCAAGGAAGATCGGAGGAGGGCCAACGAAAGGGCTCGGGATTATCGATGGATAGAAGGTAGATTAGAAAAACGGAAAACGGACGGCAGTGGGATTTGGATGGTGGTACCGCATCCATTCATGCGGTATGACTGGGTTAAGACAGCCCACGAGGAAACTGCGGCCCATTTTGCCGTACGAATCATGGAATCCGCTATCGACAAAAATGAGTGGTACTAGTCCAATATACGCGACGATGTGAAATACATTGTCGCCAACTGTCAAGTCTGCGTCGCTGATAAAGCGCCGATTCAGCCACCAAGATCGATAGTGCCCACGGTTGTTGAACGGTCATTTCAAAGAGTGAGCATGTACACTACCGACATTGTGGTGCCCCCTGGCCCTAATAGTTGCGAATATTCAGTCCTATTGGTATTTGTCGACCATTTCTCGAAATGGATCGAAGCGTATCCTTGTCGCACACGACAAGCCACAAAAATCGCGCGATATGTCAACCGTTTCCTCGGGATGCATCAGGATATGGAAGAGATCCTGATCGACAACGGGGCCGAATTCAGAGGGGAAGTGTTAAGGAATCTGGTCATACATGGCGTCGCCATACGGAACATTGCACCCCACATGTCACAATCCAATGGGCTGGTCGAAAACGCTAACCGGGTGATAAAGACAACATTGAGACGAAACATTGTGGCACGGGATCCGAGGCCCTGGCCCGATATCGTCGATCACATCCTGGCGGTCCATCACGAAACGCCCCACGAATCGACGGGGCTAAGCCCCTTCCAATTAAGAACCAATAGCGTCGCTTGCGTTTCGATACCAAGCCTTCCGGATGAGTCTACATTGAACCGACGGCCCACCAGGGCCACGGCTCGAGACAAGGCCAAACGACACCTAGAGTTAATGGAACGGTTGCTGCCCAGGCTAGCCCGAAAACGACAGAAAATGACTGAACTAGCCCAAGGCCGACAGGTCCGGAGCTACGAGGCCCGAAATGGGAATGCGGGTCCGCGGCCCCAGTACAAATTGGGGGACGTGGTGCAGGTAAGGAAATGTGTTTGCCAGGGTAAGCTAGCGCCACGATTCTTCGGGCGATATCGTGTGATCGAACTCGGCCCTAACGGCGTGGACACCGTGCGTCTCGCCCGCGAGGTCTCTGGCAGTCGATCGGCTCGTCCGATTACCCGCCACGTGTCCTATCTTCGCCTCCTCCCCTCTGCTCCGTCTCCTTCTCCCTTGGTCTCTCTTTCTGAGGAAGACGACGACGACGGCTCTGACTCTCCGCCATCTCCCTCTCCTTCTTGCTCCCTCTCTGCCACCCCGTCACCCCCGCCATCGCCATGAGCTTCGTCATCGAGCGAGCTTTCAGTAATGAGTTGCTGATGTTACGGGGAGAGATCTCAACCATCCGCCAAGTGCATCATCCGCGGATCAGCCCCGACTTCATGCGCCTTGCGCAGTTTTTCTGCACTGCAAGTGTGTACGGCGCGGCAGAGTTCCGGTTCACGAGCAATCCCTAGGTGGTGGTGCTGGCCGAGGCAATGACGTTCCAACGGCGAGCGGCCCGAGGAATTAGCCACGTGTCTACCGTGGTAGTCTTCAGCGGCGACATCACCGCCTTCGATCCGGCGCGGCAAGCCGCCATCAAAAGCACCTTGTACCAGTGGGGTCGTGATCTGGCCACTGATTGGGATCGACGGCTCACAAGGCACGGTGACGAGTGCTATCCTGTCGACGACATCGAGGTGAACACGCTGCGCACAACGCTGCGCGAGCCACCTGTCGTCCTCCCTGAACTTGCTCCCTTCCAGCCGCGCAGATGAGCCGCGCGCCAATCTCGACGTTTTCTCCTCCCTCTCTCTTCCCCATCTTCTGGCAGTCCTCTCACTACCCTCGTCTCTCCTTCCGCCAGGAGCCGCTGACAGTACCCATCGTTGATCCGGATCGTTGGAGGCTGTGGCGTGCAGAGTTCGTTGAGCTCTCGTTCTGTCTGTTACGAGTGGATCTGAACTGGACGTGGGAAGGCGATCGGAGGCCCGCGTCAGAGACCGTGGAGCTGCTCATCATCCAGGGGTGGAGGACCAACGTGGCGGGAGACCTTCTGGGATTCGTCTTTGGAGCAGTGGATCGGGGAAACCGATCACAGATCGTGTGCGAACTTACGATCGTGATCGCGCGACTGGCCGACGAACTCCCCCTTGACATCGTCTCTCAAAGCAACGAAGAGTCAGTGCCACATACGCCCCGAGCCTCCAGTGGTCGGCTTGTATCAAGGAGCGTTGGGCGGACGACCGGTTTCCCTCTCGCAGCGAGTACCTGGACGTCCACAGCCTTACTAATCCCCGCTTCTTTCGGCAACCAACGACGTTCGAGTGGGCGGCGCTGAGAGCAGAAGAGGAAGCAGAAGAGGATTCAGAAGGAGAATTAAGGAGAGAGGCCAGGGAAGCAGCGGCCCGGTTGGCCGAGGACGAGGAAGAAGAACGCGAAGCAGAAGAAGAGTCGGCGGAAGCTGAAGAAGAAGAAGATGAAGACGCAAAGGGGGAGACTTCAGAAGAAGAGGAGGAAGCCTATAGTGAGCACAGCGAGGGCGAGCCAAGTGAGGAGGAAGAAGACGACGACGACGAAGAAGTGGAAAGCGGAGACGACCAGGAGCCAACGCACAACGACGAGCTCGAGTGGGTGCCAGAACCGGATCGACGAGAGGAGAACCCTAAGGCTGCCGCGCAGCGCAAGAAAGAGGTCGCGAAGGGAAAGCGGCTGGTGATCGACCCCACATCGAACGATCCTTCCAAGGATCCCGAGCCGCCCAAGCTGGAACATGGGGACCTTGCTGCCACGACCTCGAGCGCCGCGAAGGCGCCGATCCCGATCCCCGTCCCCCTCCGCCTCCGCCCGTCCCCCAATTCGTCAACGTATCGATGAGGGGCTTCGCCCTTCGTCCCCGATCCATATACCACCGTCCCCTTAGCCATCTCTCTTTCAATCAGTATTTCCATCGCGTCGTCTTCCCCCGTAATCCCTTCCCCATCGCCACCTTCCGACATTTCTACTCTGCCCGCTTAGAGTTGACTGTCCACCCCCACCCTTCCGCTCGGTGCGTCGTCCCCGATTACCACCTCCACGTTCTACTCCTTAGCGCCGCGTGGTGAGGCCGTAACCACATAGAGGTTTACTGCATCGTTACGGGGACCTTTCCCGCGTGCGAAGACCATGACCGGTTCCGCACCGACGTCCTCCGAACCCTCGTTTCCCTTTACCCAGACTACCTCGCTTCCCTTCCCCGCAGCGGCCAACGATTCCCCCGCTTCCATCGCATCGTCCGCTTCCAAGAGCTTCCCTACGACCGCACTGCGATCGGGCGCTTCATACCTGAGCTTACGATGGAGCCGCCTCGCCCTCCCTCATATGCGTACCGCCTTCCTTTCCCCCTTCGGGTTAATGACTGATGCAGCGGTAATGGACGCGTGTCGCTGCGACGGCACGAGAAGGATCCCGTCCTTGGATCGTCGAGAACCCAATCTGAGGAACTAGTAGAAGAGCAATGTTGCCACGAGGATGACGTCCACATGCATTTGAACGGTAAGTGGCATAGACAGAAGTGCTCCGCGTGTCAATCGATTAGAGAAATCGACACGTGTCAACAAGCAAGCAGGAGCTTGCTAATATTAGAACCCCCTGGACGTCACATATGTGACGAACCACTTTCTGTAACGCGCGATTTTCTGCACGGTTGCAATAAGGGGTCCTAAGCTGGGAAGATTGGGCCAATTACGGGAGACTGGGATAGGTGGAGAATTGCATTAGTGTCCTCGTTTTTTTTTCGTCCTTTTCGTCGCTTCTTTTTTGAATGGCTAGGCACGGAGCTGGGTGTGTCTTGGGACGGCCGGTTGATTGATTGGTCGGATGGATGTCTGGCGCGCCGCCGCCCGCGCGCGCGATTAATCAATATTGACGTCATTTCTTTCGTTTCGGTTTCGATCTTTTGGGCACGGGCATCGCGCGGGAAATTTGCTTCATTCTTTTGAATTTCCTTTTGAATTTTGTCGAGTCCCCAATGGCTCTCGGAATTTCGGACTTTCCTTCTGAACCTTGTGCTTTTTGCTTCTTCGCATTAGATAGGAATTAGGAATTCAGTAGTTATGATTTTTCTTCTTCTTGCCGCGCGGCGCCTTCTTCCACGCGCTTCTTTTTGCGGCTGGAACGGTATTCTGATTAGTAGGCGCCCTTAATCGTGTGTGTAACTGTAATTTTGGGGCGGACGCCATTGTAACTGTATTTTCCTTCTTGCATCTTGTCTTTCCCGCCCTCCTCCTCTTTCTGTTGCTGAATTTTTTGTAAGCCACGACTTGCATGCTCGGATCGATGCGTGGAGAAGGGCTACGTCCCCCACGCCGCGGCCCGACCATGCAGAACGTAGGTGCTCCCTCTCTAATCCCCATTCTAAGTCCTGGTAATTCCGTGTTCTTCGCGCATGCATGCACACTATAAATTTCGGCTGCGCGATTAGTCAGCTCTCTTAACTCGTTGTTGGAAGCTCGGGGTTGCGCGATCAGGAAGGGTCGGCACACGAGCGAAGTAAGAGGTGAGTAGAGTAGGAGTTGGGCAACCCGACGGGCTGGTGCCGAACGCGCGGGATTGACGTGGGCCACGACGGACTGTGGGCACATGCGAATCCGACGGGTGCAGGAGGACTAAGCGGGGTGACAACTTCGTGGGTTGGTGCGTGACGACGGACTGTCCGCATCGGAGAAGAGAGAGAGAGAAGGAGAGAGTTGAGGTCGATGGACGCGGATTTGCTGTTTCTTTGTCTCTTCCCCCTCTTCATCTATGTACATACATTTTTATTGCGGCTCCGGGCGGTTTTGCCCGTTCTTATTTTCGTTTTGACTTTCTGGAATCTGGGCTTGGGTTTTTGCTCACACTTGTCCTTGCGAAGTCCGTCCCGATTGCATTATGTGTATGATTGCCGAATGTATGAATGC